TGTTTCTCATTTCCCTTCTTCTGTCCTACCTTCTGAACTCTGTTCTGAGGAAAATATTGCCTTATTGGTCTCAAATGGTTGATTATTTTGAGGAGTGCATGTCCCCTTAGTGTGATTGTTCATTTTATAGACCTCTCTGTTGTTTAACTGAAAACAGAACTACTGGTATGAGTTTATTTCTGGCCTCAAGGGAGACTAAGGGCTGTAGTCACAATGTTTTTACCAGTTTCTATCTAGCCTGGTCTTAAGATTTTGAGTTTTGTTCCACTTTTTTCACCCACTCTGGAACATTTCTATTGTGATCCTGTTGGGAGTGGTCAGCAGTGGTAGCTGGACCCATCTAGTTCGTTTGGTACCAGGGTGGTAAAAACTGAGGTTCATGTTTCCTGTCTGTAATTTTCTTCATTCTTCTTTTCTCTGGATGAGGAGAGACCAGTAGCAACACCTTAGATGGCCACTTTTGCAAACTCTTAAGACCTCAGTTGCTACTTGCAGAAGTAGAACGACCGTTATCTTTGTGAAGTATGTTACGTCAGTTTTCTTTGAAGTCCCTCCGGACTGTGGTCCCAAGCCTTCAGGTCCAGTGACTCATTCCCTCCTGGTGTTTGGTTATGGCTGATGAGTTTACATACCTTTGCCCCTGTTTGTTCTGTTATAAACAAGGATATGTTTACAGTGCATACAAATACGTTTGTGCAAATATCGTCTGTCACATGATATTTAGTTGAGGGTGCTTTTGCCTACTCGTAGCTAATAATCTCTGCAAAAGATTTTAGAAGAATTCATTTACATATATTTTTGTAAAATGTAAAAATAAATGCCATGCATTCTGATGGTGGCAATGGTTAAGTGTTTGGCTGCTAACCAAAACAATGGGTGGTTCACACCCAGCAGCTGCTCTGTGGGAAGAACAACTTGGGGATCTGCTCCTATAAAGATGACAGCCTAGGAAACATTATTGGGGGGCAGTTTTGCTCTGTCCTATGGGGTCACGCTGTGGGTCAATGTGCTGGACTGCAGTCATTTGAACCTCAAGGTCGGTGATTCAAGCTCACCAGCCACTCCTTGGAAACCCCATCCAGGGTTGCTGTGGGTCGGAATTGACTTGACAGCACATAACAACAACAGTAGGGTCACTATGATTCAGAATTGACCCAAAAGCACACAACAACAACGTGCCTGAATAAAGTGTGTTTTATAAAACATGTCTCATGTATTTTGCACATGTATTCAGGAGGGACCCATCCCTGGAGAAGGACATCATGTTTGGTAAAGTAGCGGGTCAGGGAAAGAGGAAAACCTGCAGCCAGATGGACTGATTCAGTGCTTCTAACAAATACGTTCAAAACATGACAACAATTGTGAGGTTAGCACAACACTTGTTGTGAAGTGCTGTCGAGTCGGTTCCAACCCATAGCGACCCTGTATAGGGTTTCCGTAGAGCAGCTGGGGAGCTTGAACCACTGATCTTGCAGTTTAAACGGCTTTACAGTCTGGTCCATTAACCCACAGCACAATACTAGGCAGTCCTTTATTCTGTTGTACATAGGGTACTGTGATTTGGAACCAGCTTGACGGTACCTAAAAATAAAAACAAGGTTTTCTAAGGGGAATTTTATTCCCAACAAAAACTTACAAAGTAGACATCATTTTTAGATACCCAGGACCAGGCAGTGTTTCGTTCTGTTGTGCATAGGGTCGCTATAAGTAGGAACTGACTCATTGGCATCTAACAACAATACTAGACTAATCAAAAAATTATCTGAATAATACATAATTTTTTTTAGGTTTGCTTTTTTTCATGTGAGATTTAGCTTAGATAAAATGCTGCCTTTTCGAATGTCTGAATGACATGCAAAAATGCTTTGCTTAAAAACAGTATTTTTGAACATTCAAGGATTATTTACAGATTTTAAATTTATATTTACAGAGCATTTCCAATGGATATAAACGTATATATTGTAAAATGCTTCTAAAAAACACATAACATCCATATTATGCAAATTGTTCACATTAGTATAAAACATTTCTATAAACATTATTTTAGAGAAAAAGGAGAGTGGAAAGATATCACAGTGTTTCTTTTGTGTAAGTAGAATGGCTTTAGAATAATCAAATCTTTTTGTCTAAATAGTTTTTAATTACAAAACTACAGAAACTTTGGGAAAATATTGACAAATGCAACCAAAACAAAATTAATCTCCCATAATTTTGTGCAAAGGTAACTGGTCCTGATGTATTTTCTTTCTATTATTTTCAATGTATGTGTTTTTTACGTTGTTGAGATTAAAAAAAAAAAAAAAGCACAATTTTATTTGGCTTTTAAAGTTTTGACAGCATAACGTAAAGTTTCTTAACATTTTTGTAACATTATTATAGAATATACATACAGAATAAAAATGATTAAATGAACAACTCTTAAGTGTCTTAACAGTTTTCCACAAACGTTTTGAGGTTCTATCATATGTGGTGTTAGTATCCCTACTGTATGGATGAGGAACCGGACTCAGAGAGGTTAATTTGGCCATAGTAATATTGTTAAAGTGCCATCAAGTTGGTTCCAACTCACAGCAACCCTATCTAGGGTTTCCTAGGAGTGGCTGGTGGATTTGAACCAACACCTTTGCAGTTAGCAATCCAGTGCTTATCCTGCAGCACTACACCAGGACTCTATAGTAATGTTGTTACTGTTGTTAAGTGCTGTTGAGTTGGTTCCAACCCATAGTGACCTTGTATAGGGTTTCCAAGGAGCAATTGGTGGGTTTGAATTGTCAGCCTTATAGTTAGCAGTCCAGTGCTTATCCTATTAGTACCACACCAGGCAGGACTCCCCGTAGTAGTGACATTGTTGTGTTAAGTGCTGTTGAGTCAATTCCAATTTACAGCTGAAGATGTAAAATCCTTTGATATTTCTATTATTCTATGGTGCCTCAACTTTTAAGTAATATTTGTATCACTTGCATTATCATAGTGCCATGATGGCAGTGGGAGGTGGGGCTTCAAAAAATTCATGTAAAAATGGAATTGAAAGGTAATAGAATTTTCCTACTAAGTTTCTGAAGCTTCCTCCTGTATTTACTAACTTTATTTCTAATTGCTAAATTTTAAGGGACTGCTAAATTTAGCCAGTCCTCTGTTGTTGTTGTTGTTGTTGTTGTTGTTTTTTAAATTTCCCTCCTCAGACATTAACACATGTCACTAGAGTGTTGTCAGAACTAAACTCATGAAGAGTTTAGTAAGAAGTTAAAGCAAAATTAACTTGTCTTTGCTAAGTGATAGTTATGGTTGTTGCTTTCAAATACAATTTTATGTCTCCTAAAATCGTACTGAATCAGGACTAGCAAATGCTTGGCCTAGCTTCCAAACACTGTTATAGAAGAGTAATATGTATGTTAATGAGCACAGCATACCTCTACAGTGGTTCTAGATAGAAAAATCTAAATGGTTGCTAAATTTCCCTACATTAAACAGCTTATCCAACCTAGTATATAGACCCATCAGAACATTTTTATCAGTAACTATAGTGTCTGCCTGAGAATTGTAAAGGATTAAAATTAACTCCAATTAGTCTTTTAAAAAAACAACTTCAGTCCATTTTTTTCAGCAAAAGGGAGAAACGCAGTTAAGTGATATATATGTAAGGATTATATTGCATAGTGGCTGCCTTCCCAGTGTGTCATGATCAGTTTTTACTGGAGGCTAAAACTTGTTTCTGTAAGTATTGTAGTAATGTTGTATTTAAGATACAAAGCTGATCATGAAACAGTTTCTTGAGAAATTTATCAAACCCAAAAGAAGGAAACAAGCTTGCTGCAAGTTGAAAGGCATCAAGGTGTTTGTCTTTAAAGGGTTGTGACATAGTTAGCTAATTCTGCAATTTCTAATATTAGAAACAACTGTTTCATTTGAAAGTAGAGGCTACATTTGACATTTTAACACGACCCATCCAAGGATAGATATCATGGCAAGAATTGTAACTTACAGTCAGAAAGAAGAGAAATTCATCATCCATGATAAATACATTATTTTAAACTCTTATTACTATTACTTTTCTAGGTAAAACAGTGAAAGTATTTGTATTGTGTATTATATGTTGTTTAGGAAATTAAATTAGATTTGAACCTTTAATGATAACAGATATAGAATTCATGTATTCTATGTTGTTGTTGTTAAATGCCTTTGAGTCAGTTCTGACTCATAGCAGCCATGTATAGGGTTTCTGAGGAGTGGCTGGTAAGCTTGACCCACGAACCTTGTAGTTTACTCAAATATAGGCTTGTCAGTAGAACTAGAAAATATGCCCTTTTTTTTGCTTTTTTTTTATTCAATACTGACTAGTTTGTGCTTAAGATAGACATATACATATATATATGATTAGTAAAAGGCACTATGACTTACCTTTTTGTTTGTAATTTTTTTTATTTTGGGGTTTTATTTTTTAACCATCAGTTTAGGTTTTTGTATTGTTTTTCAGAGAAATTTAAAAATGTTTATCATTTAAATGAATGGAAAAACTGAACCTTTCTGACCTAACACATAATTAATTCTACATTTTACATTTTAAATTATGCCAGTTTTGAAATTTAGAATTTGGTTTCTTTAATTTATATGTATATTTTATGTACAACCACTTGTTCTAAATTAATCAGAGATACAAAAGGGATAATTAATAACAGTATTAAAATATATACTACTTTTGATGCAATTAAATTAGACCTTAGATAAGGCTAATTTTTTTCAGTGTGTGAAAACTTTCTAATAATTTAGTTTTAATATTGACTTGACTGCTATGTATTAACATTATTTCTCTCAGACAGGTGGGCACAGAAGGGTTTTAGTTTGATCCTAATTGATAGATGTGGTTCCTGAGTATTAGAAATTATGAGTCTTGCTGAATAGTACTTTAAAGTGATTTATAAGTATCCCAGTGATAACCCATGACAGTGAGGCTCATCAGATTTTAAAATAAATAAATAAATTTCCTTTTATTGTATTTGCAGGAAACCTGTCCAGTTTAAGTCGTCTTGGTCTGAGATATAACAGGCTGTCAGCAATACCCCGGTCATTGGCAAAGTGTAGTGCACTTGAAGAATTAAATGTAGAGAACAATAACATATCTACTTTGCCAGAGGTAAGAAGTGGGTTTGGAGTAATTTGAAACATAGCTCTGTAACATAATGAAGGGGGGAAAGTACAAACTCTTTATAGCTGGATTAATGATGCGGTGACTGGCATTACTTAAATAAGGAGCATGGTATGGATAAAAAGCTACCAATAAAAGAAAAATTCCAGATGAGAAAGAAAAATTCCAAAGTTCCTTCTATTTCAGGAGCATAAACATTTTTTTTCTTTAATGTGGAGAAATTAAGAGAATCAATATACCAGTTGCCCATGTGAGTCAGAGTAGAACTGTGCTTCGTAGGCTTTTCAATGACTGTTTCAGAAATAGGCTGCCAGGCTTTTCTTCTGAGGTGCCACTGAATGGACTCGAACCACCAACTTTCCAATTAGCAGCTTGGCTCATTAAGTGTTTGCACGTCCTAGGAATATCACGTTCCATTTTGGCACTGTCTTAATGCTCTAGTGCTACAATAACAAAAATAGCACCGGGGGGGAGGGTAGCTTTACGTTAATGACTAGAAATGTATTCTCTCATATCTTCTCATTTGGCTAGAAGTCCAGATTCAGAGCACTGGTTCTGAAGAAAGGTCCTTGCCTCCTTTCAGCATCAATCGGCCTTACATTCCTTGGAGTTCTCCCTGTGTCTTGACATCGAGCTTCATAGTGCAGGGACTTCAGGTTCAAAGGATGCCCTCCACTCCCTGCTCTTCTTTCTTGGTGACACTGAGTTCCTCTGAACTCAACTCGCTTCTCTCTCCTTTTGTATCTCAAAAAAGATTGACTCAAGATACAGCATAATCCTAGAGATTGCATCTGGCCTCAGTAACATCATAGAAGTGAGGATTTACAACACATGGGATAATCACATAAGAGCAGAGATCCCATCATGGGAATGATTGCATCATATTAGATGCCATCTTGGAGTTTATAATTACACCTTAACAACTAAACCACTGAGCCAAGTTGACACAAAACCTTAACTTTATCACAACTACTGTGTAAATCTGTCTCATGTTTTGGCAACTGGCAGTAAAATCACTAAAGAAAAGTTGTATGGCTGGTTTTAAAACTAAACAACCTTCCGCATTTCCGTTTTTAAAAGGTCATGTTGTTGCCATGTCTGCATGTGCCTTACTCCTCCTCCTTCAGGCCAGATGCTGTAGGTACGTTTTCTCCTAAGAACTTCACTAGAAGTAGCTTGTGTTGTCAAGTATGGCGATTAGATTTTAATTCATTTAGATATTCATCACTGTAAACTGTTTGTTTTAATTTTTAAAGTTGGGGGTTAGTCATTCATTCTCGTAGAGCAGCAGGAGAGTTGTAAGCAATCCTATTCTTTAGGTTTTTTACTCAATTCTGTAAAACCACAAATCAGGTCCTGTCTTTTAGCTAAGCCTTGCTTTAATTTGTGACACTCAACAACAGCGTTTGTGGTCCTTGCCTGAGACGTGTACTCAAGCCATCCTTCTAGGCAGTTGTAGCCCACGCTCTGAAGTACTTGGACGATTACTCGGAAGATGACTGCCTACTGCCACAGAGACAGAGCATTTGAAAACACCCTGAGCTGAGATGAATTGTAGAATCTCTGTTCTGTGGTAATTTGGTCAAGAAACTTCCCATTTATGTTTTTACATTCAGGTTTCCCATTGTCAGTAACTCAGAGATGTCCCAGCTATTTATAATGAATTCCTTTGAAATGTTCTTAAGGTTTGTAATTTCACATTTATGACTTAGTGCATCCTAGGACAAGTTTACAGCTAGAAGTTCAGCGTGTTAGATCTCCGAGGCTCTCAGCTAGCCTGTCTACACCATGAAGCTGTCTTTCAGAAACTACTCTGATTCCCAGTTTGCTCAAATTGTGTGTGAAATTCTTTTCAGAAGAGAGGTCCTATCCACAGAATAAGTGTTAACCATCACAGCTGTAGAGTAGCCTTAGGTATCCGGGGCTCTCTTCCAGAATGGGAAGCCCCAGCCATGGGTGGGCATTTTTGAATCTCAAGAACATCAGAATGAAGCTTCAGGTGTTTGTGCTTTTCTTCTGAGACTGGGATTCGTTTCCTCACTTTGAGCAGTTCAGCGTTCCATGGACAGGTGACCCACTCACTTGCCTGGGATCTCTTAGAAGCATTGTCCTTTCATTACGAGACTGTGTCTGTGCTTAATATAAATTTACACTGAATCTGTTTTAGTGTATTTATAAATGGTGAACTCAGTTTCTGAAACTAAACTTTTTCTTTGAAAATTTCTAAAAAAAAGATAATGTAAGATGATAAATGTAAGACAATAAACTAGATAGAACACGCTATTATCAAGATTAATATTAAATACATTTAAATTTGGGTGTTATTTTTGCCTTTGCTTACTATTTTAGCATAGCAACAACTTAGAGTATTGTAAATATTAAAAATGTTTTATACAAGTAGCCCTATTGTTTAAAATATGGAGTATACTTTTGTTGTTAAGCCTGTTGTGTTGTAACTGTTGCTAGAGCAGGCATATTCACCTTCTGATACATCACCGTGTGTGTGTGTTTGTGTATTGTAATTGTTAGGTGTTGAACTGTTGACTGTGTGGTTAGCAGTTCACTGCTTATGCAGCAACACTACCAATGCTTCTGTGTATGTGTGTATGTATGTATATGTCTGTCTATCTATGAATGAGACTAAAGGTAGTTTGGATAACTGCTTTTAAGATTTATACTATAATTGATGAAGAACCATTTAGAAAGATGAACCTATAGGTCTGTAGCACTTAATTTATAAATTTTATTCAGTTCATTTGTTTCTAAAAGATATATAACCAGAGTTGTTGTTGTTAAGTACCCTAAAGTCAGCTCTGAATCATAGCAACCTTGTATAGGGTTTCTGATGAGCAGCTGGTGGGTTTGAACCTCCAGTCTTGTGGTTAGCAGCCCCATGCTTATCCTACAGTGCCACACCAGCACCTGTTAATTTGAGTTTTCAGAAAATCCCTTGGTTAAAGAACAGAGATGAGTGTCCCAGGACTGTAATTTCTAGACTGCACTAGTTCACTAAGACTACTATTACATGTGAGAAAGAGTACTGTTGTGAGAAAGAGTACTGTTGTGAGAAAGAGTACTGTTGTGAGAAAGAGTACTGTTGTGAGAAAGAGTACTGTTGTGA